TGAAGCGGTGCAGGCGCGTGAAGCAGGTGCTGCAAGGGAAGGTTCAGGGTGACGTGAACCCTGCCAGGGTGCCGGCATGCCTCTCGGGGAAGGCCACGTGCGGAGGGGTTTCCCCCTTCTGGTCCCTTTCCTGCACCACAGCAGAGCACCACTTGAGCCTCCCCATCCCCAGCTCCCACAGGGCAGGGACTCCCAGTGCAGCCCTGAGGATGCACCTGCTTACCTCTGTGTTTCCACCCTTGGACCAGCCCCACTTTCCTCCTCGCGCACTGCCTGGCCCAGCACATCCCACTCCCCAAGGGCTGCCCACAGAGCCGGGTGCAGATCAGGACTAACATACTCACTGCAGCAGGGGCAGGGCCAGCAGCTACCCCATCAGGAAAGGGCTGCTCGGGCCGGGTGCCTTCTCACAGATCCAGAAGTGCACGTCATTGTCGCCATTGCACTGAGCGGGTTTGATGCTCCCATGGCTTATTATGGCGCAGGACCCATTGGACTTCCACTGCCAGGACCTGCTGATGTGGCCAAAGGAGGGGGCGCCCCAGCCCCCCATCAGTAACGTCACAGGCCAAAACTTCAACCAGCGCATTCCCTACCCATCCTCGGGCACAACTCCCTGCTGGGTCTCAGCTGCCCACGCTTATGGCTGGGGGGGCATCTTGGCTCTGGAGTGTCCTGGGCTCAGGACACTTGCGCCACGGAGCCGCTGCCCTGCCCAGCAGGTGCTAACAGAGGCTGGGCAGGGCCCTCGGGGTAGACAGGCCCGTTCCCCGCCACTGCCTTCAGACACCACAAGAGGAAGTGGTGGTGAGGAGGGGAGGTGGCTCACGTGGCAGCAAGGAGTCCCAGCCCCTCTGCAGGCAGGAAGGCTTCATTCCCCCACACAGGAGAGGTGGGAGATGAATGTGGGACTCCAGCGCTTCATCTGGACCCCAAATGACACCTGCAGTTTCTTTTGTCCCCTATTCACATGTGCCTGCAGAGGCTTTGCAAGGCCTCAGCGTATGGCTGCTCCCTCCTCCCCTTAGTGCCACCTTGGTTGATGCCCTGGCAGTTGTGCCAGGGGCAGGGACCGGGCAGTGGTGGGATTATAAATCCCCTTAAAGCCCTGGGCTTTCCAGCAGGAGGTGTTTCCCTGTCTGCTCCTCTCTCACAAGAGAGTGCACAGAAATCAGCCTCCCAGTACCTCTCATAAAGAGAACCGTCGATCCAGATCCAGGCATCTGTCCCACCCTCTTCGCTTGGATCCTCTTCCTCCAGCCCGTACCCATACTCGAACCAGGGATAGCCACTCTTGTACAGCCCAATCCAGTACGGGGTATCTGAGTTCTTCAGGAAGTTCTGCGGGATGAAAAAGGCCCCTTACATTGGCTTCCCACAGCCAGGTGCCCGCTTCATCCCCCAAACCAAGGAAGGCCAGGTCTCCAGTGTCCACAGAGGGATCGTGTGAGGAGGAGGAGGGCAATGGGTCCCCACAGCAAGCTTTTCTCTCGCACCAGTGGCCAGCCCAGCAGAGAAAAGGTCAT